CGCCTGCTTATAGATCAAAGACGAAAGAGAGGAGTTGTGGTGAGAGAAGAACGTTGTGAAGAGAGTTGTGGAGGGGTTTATAAAAGCTGTGAGTAGCGAGGCCAGGGAGGAGGGTGAAGGTGAAGGTGTACAACGCAAAGGTTATCGCTGAGTGGAGATATCGATGTCTGTCGGACGGCTGACTTAGGAGGAAGGGATATTTCCGATCAGCATAGCTTTCAAGTAAAATCGAAAAGAAATGATACCCAAATAGCGTACCCACTCCCCTCCCCCTTCCCACTCATCTATCCTCAAAGGGTTCTGAATGTATGATATCTAGGTGTTAGTTCAACCTGTGGTTAATTCTGGCAGTGTGGTAATTCAAATGAACAAAGGATGAAAAGATAAAGGAAGAGGAAGAGAGGGAAAGAGAGGGGAAGAGAGGGAAAGAGAGGGAAAGAGAGGAAAGGGAAGGAAAAGGGGGGAAAGGGAGTTCATGTATAAATAAAGTCCTATTACGTACACTATGAGAGTCCCATTTCCTTCCCATACTTGACCGAACACTTAATCTTGGCGCTCTAGGCGGTATTTCGGCTGGAGATTCAAATGTAGCTGAACATTATTGGTAACGCGATCCGGGTCCCGAAGTACTAATGTGGCTCCCGCCAGTAGGTCAATGATCGGAATGCAAGATATCCTTCTACCAAGGGCAACGAAAAGAAAATACTGATACAATAACCATAATACCAGCGGTAAAATAGTCGAAAAGGTACCATTTATTGCCTCGTTATCTAATCTTGACCTCTAGAAGTCTTTTTTAGTCTAGACTGAAACTAACGAACTAAAGGCCAATAGCATCTTTCCGAAAGTATTACCGATAGCCTTAATCTGAACTGATTAAATAGACAGTCTTATACGTGGCGTAGATTAAGAGCCATGAACAGTCATATATATAGTCGATATTTGAGGTCTGGGTATGGGGGTTTGGCGTCACGAGCGATCACTCGATATTCAGTCCCGCCTCAGAACATTTGAGATCCGAAATCCAGTTAGCTTAATTGTTTTATAGTAATATCCACTCACGTTTCCGGTTGCTTATGAGCCTAGTCCTACTTGATCTAGGCTATGTTGGTCATACCTATCTAGTCACGTGCAGCTATTCTTTAAAAGTGGTAGTGATTCGCACCTGGAAATTTTATCATCCACCACAGCCGTATGTACGTATACTTTTAAGGAGCACCTGTAGCTACCTGTTTCCTCAACGTACCTGCTTATGACTGTAAATCAGGCCCCTTAAAGCAGTACTAACCGTAAGGCATCCAGGTTTCTTCCCAAGCAATTTTTCCGGCTGTCTAGTGGCATTTTTGTCAAGACCGTATTAGAGTAATTCCTTGCGGCTATGCGTGTGAGTGAGCGGCCACTTGCTATTGTATAGCTATCATCCAAAAACCACTCCTGACCGCATTAAAGAATATAATATCTGACGCAGTCATCGTCATGAGAGAAAAATCTTCCTTCTAGACACTATAAAATCTCATAGCTCTACATTTGGGTCTTTTAAAGACTAGAATATCTTAAAAACCCTCTTAAGCCTTATTATTAACCGCTAAAGAGAAATTTTACCACACTACAAAATATATTTATCACAATAGGCAATTTGAGCTAGTAATATTCTATAATTGAAATTTGATATGTATTTACGGCTCCATCACGTTTCTCGCGCCAACTAGCAAGAGTGGACTGAAATCTCTGTTGCATAGATATATATATAACTGAGATATACATACATGAACTATGAACGATTCCCCAAGTATAAATTAAAATGATTGTCTAATGACTGCCCAGGAACCCGTATATTAGCGCGCGCACACAATTTCTATTGGTTAGAATATATACATGTAGTCTGCATATCACAGATAGAAGCACATACTTAGATATATGTACAGACAAAGAACTGCTCCCGAGATAGGACCCGGTAATGCCGGGAAGGGAGCTGACATCGAAAGGGCAAACACTAGTGATAGGTAGAATTAATTGCAGATATCTAGTATTATATATCAACCTTGAACTACCAGATATCTTTTTATGAACTACATGTTAATATTAAGAACTCATGCGAGCAAGGAGGGGTCGGTGTGCCGCGGCACCCGACCCCGATTGTGAGCCGTTTATTGAGAAGGAAGAACTGATATATGTAACTACAGCAATATATAGTGCAGTGCTTACACGATCAGACTGGATCCGATTCTGTTATTCACCTCAGGAAGGACCATGGATTGGACCCAATTCTATTATTCACCTCAGAATAGACCATGGACTGGCCATGGACGTACTACATGTTCTAAAGACCTATACCGAATGGTAATGTAAACACACTTCCTCACCCAGTCGCTCTTAGAAAGTATTCGTACTAATATATCCATAGGTTGACAACTTCTATTTGTTCAATTTGCGGCCGGAGGCCGCATTGCATTCCACTTGTATATTAAAAAGCGTGTATCTTCTTATACAACACTATGACCTTCATTACACATTCCCGTATATTCTCCACGAAGCAATGATAATATAATCCTGGCTCTAGCCCTGAAAAAGAAAAACACTATCGCCTCCTGTGGCGATTGGCTTTCGGCCTTATGCCTTTATATAGTAGATTAGTGATCGTAAACTAGAAGCGTATTTATTAAGCATGAGATGTACTTACGGCAACTGCATTTTCACGCACAAATTTGGCGGAAACTTATTCTCGCAGCAACAAAGTAGTACTTAGGTGCAGTAAAGAATTTGACGCTCGTCACTGGCTAGGATTTATGGTGGCAAATCAAGATAACCCTAGCCCTGTTACTATTTTTTTTAAGGGTGTGTGTCCTCAAACACAAGACGACTCCCCTAATAGAGAAATTAGATTTGTGTGGGAGATCTATTATTTGATAAGAGAGATAACAGGATCTGTTAGTAAAGCCACATAAAAATTTGCTTTTTTTGAGGGGTCAGCATTTGTTGCCAGCTTAAGGGATAAGTTAATTAGGCCTTGTTCCAATAGACGACTTCCCTAGCCACCCGAACACCACCCGAACACATTCAACGTCAACCGGTTTCTGTACCAATCATACTCAACTGTTCGGGTGAGGGGGGTGTTCGGGTGGCTAGGGAAGGCAACAAATCCCCCCGGCCACTTTTATCTTCCTTTACCTTTAAGTATATGTATGTACTCTATGAGTAATACGTACATGTATATCACATGCCACGGAGTAAATTTCATAATAATATGAGAATTCCTGTGAAGTTTAGTCAAAGTCATGATGTAAGCAAAAACGTTTATCGTATCTTAACGAAAGTCACTGACTATGTATGTTTGGTATCATACTACTATGGGCGTCGTAAACTTTAAACTGGCACTGTGGTGCACACGAGAGAACGATGGGTTAGGAAGACTGTGTAAAAAATCATCGTAGAGCTTCCTAATCATGCCAAGTTTCGAATCCCATCCCGTTACCTAATCCATGAAAACCTCGAAAAGCTTTCTTACACTGAAAGAAGTTTCCACTCAAACTACCCTGCGAATGTCCTAGTCTACCCTTCACCACGGTGTCCCCGATTGACAGGCACTGGGTCTGATAGTGCAATTCTCCTAGCGGTAGGACCCTTCTGCCCCTGAGGACGTCAAAATAGAGTGTGGCTTAACGACGCTACTGACAACAGTGTCACTTTTGCTTTTCTTTGCTCGGTTGAGGTTAGAAGGCGTTTTCGTAGTGAAGACCCTTCACCACTTCTTATTCCACCTTTCTCAAGGTCATTTTCATTATTCCCAATTTGGTTGCAAGAGACGCTGGGGACCCCATTGTGGGTAAGCCGAGTGATGATGATTAACTCTACCAAAAGGAATCACGCCATTCTAAATCGGGAACGTAGTGCTCGGTCGAGATCAAGACTAGTCCTCAAAAGTCACAGCCACGGCTCGTCCGCTGGTCAGCCACAAGCCACGGCTGCTACTCGGGTAGTGACACATGTCAATCAGATAAGATCCTGCAAGGTGATGATAAACCAGGTTTCCTACTCGTTTCTAGAAACATTTGTCCCCTTCTCTCATGCATGATTACTCTGCGCGGATCATCATCAGCAGGAGCATCGGCATACCATGATCTTCTCCCTGCCGGCCGGTCCCAAGAAAACATACGAGTGAAAAAGAAAAAAATCGTTATTGTCTTACAAATGGAAGCCTCCATCGGAAAACTGTTGATGATGATTACAGTATTCCGCATCCATCGGGTTAAACGGTCAATCTACACATAGAGTCGAACGCTCCGATCAGTCACTCTAATCTACTGGAAACCATGCTTGAATTGCTCCCGGCGGACGTCCTCCCGTACCGTTTCCCAACAATAATCGTGAGAGCATATGAGGGGGTGAAAAGAGGAATTGCTTTTTTTTTTTTTTTTTTCCCTTCTTCGTTTTTACCGGGGATACGTTACTTGCTCGTGAAGCGAGGGAGAGGGAAAAAAACGGATAAAAACAAAAAAAAAGAGATCATTGCCAACTAGTGGATACGTATGTACCTACCTACCGGCAACTACATGCCGGTAGGGCGGATTAGTTACATACCAAATTTCAAAACTTCTCGATAAATCCTCAAACCTCCGATCAAGAATCACAACCGGAAACGTACCCCTAACCCCCCCAACCCCCCAGACGCTTTCAAAATCCCTGAGCAACACCCCTTACCCACATAACCCCGGAATTTCGCTCTGAGCGTTTCCCATACAAGGCATGTCCCCATATTTCCACTTCAGGGTCCCCCATTTTATCCCCGCGCTCCAATGGGATCAACGAGATGATATGACGTCCAACTCTACTCTAACCACGTGGGTGCAGGTCTCATCGATCGATCTCAGATCTTGAGCCCCATCGATGGACCCATTTTCCAGCCTGGGAAAAAGAGCTGAGCAAACAGGATAAGTCAGGTGGCGACAACACCGAGTAGATACTCTACCCTACCGAACCAAGCGCGTTAAAAGTCACTGGACATGGTAAGGGAACATGACAAACAAGACAGATACGCGGCTAAACACAAGGGGAAGAGAAAGAGAGCAACAGCACTGGCAGAGATCCAGGTAGATGAATTGAGGACCGATGAATCGGAATCCGAGGTGCGATATCAGGTACATTCAAACGATGGCTAGTGACTCGCTCGTAAGCATCAAGTAGCAATCAATGCCATGCCAGGGAAGGAAAGAGAGAGGGATAAACGAAGGCAGGAACAACAAGCAGCAGCAGCAGAGCAGCAGCATAAACTACGCAATCAATCTTGAGAATTGTCGATATTTGCTTTTTGCTGGTGATGTGAGTGAGCATGAGTGAGTGTATTCCTGCTTATTTGCGTCCCTGACCGACATATCTACCTCCCTACTCTAGGCTGAGTGAGTGTACGCGCACCGTGCCAATGTGATTACAGGCGTTAGTTCTGTGCGTATATGTACCTATACATACGTATCGAAATAAAATAATTATTCGATATAATAGAGTCGAGAGATCCGCTGTGACTGTTAGATTAAACCTGAGTGAGCCTACATGGCAGTAGGGCGTGTCCACGGTACATACTTATTGCACTGTCCACGGTACATGCTTATTGCACTGACTCCCCTCGCACTACTAGGACTGGGTTGGGCTGAGGTTAAGGAAGGCTACTCCTAGCCTTCCCGACCCTAGACCCTCACCCCAGACCTAATTGAAATCCTTAAGGGCTTAAGTTGCTATGCTACTAGTGAACTAGGTGAGTGAGTAGCTGAACGAACGTATGCCAACGATCGAATCGAACGTGATCGGATCGAATCGAACAATTTCAAAGCTAAAACAAGACCGCGCTCAACCAAATCTCCCATTCCTATTCTTGTTTGCCCTCAGATAAATAAGGTATCTATATACACCCAAGCAACCCCCCCCCCCCCCCAACCTGGGGGAGGAAATTAGAGTAGAACAGAAGTGTGGAAAATCGATTTCCTTCTCGCGATTACTACGTACTACATATCGTGATGACCCTCGAAGTGAGCAAGGAAAAAACATGTTTAACTCCAACACCCCCCGACCCCCAACCCTCGACATAATATGCGAAAGAGATAATAAAAAGAGACCCATGAAGCTCCAGGCATAAAAGAAAAACTCCCCCGTCAAATTCCATCATGCATGCGGGCTACTTACTAATAGAGCCCTTAACAAAAATGCGCCTCATGAGCCTCTTTTATATAAATTTATCCAAGAGAAATAGAAATAAGTAGAAATAGAGAAATAGAGAAAACCCAGAAACCGTGAAACCAACCCAGACAGGACAAATTCATAAAGCTAATAGCTAATGGGTATGAAATAAAACAAAAAATGCAATGCAAGATATATAAAGAATAGGAAAGAAAGAAAAAAAACTCCTAAAACGCTCCGAAGACACCCCATGATATCAAATCAAAGCATGAAAACAAAAAATAAACAGGATAGAATAAGAAATCCTTCGCTAAAAACCCCCAAGAAATAATTCCAAAATCCAGACACGCTAAAATAGGCAGCCAAAAACTTTGTACTCAAAAAAACCAAAATCAACAAGAAAACAAATTCTTTCAGTAATCGTCCTCATCCAACGTGATGCCCCTCTCGCTCTTCCTAGCCTTACGGACAAGCCCAATAGCACTTTCCGATGGCGAGGTCCCAGAACAGCGTCCCCTCTTCAGTGTTGGCCTATCACCCAACATCCCAAAACCATCCTCCTCATCCCCAGCAGAGGATGAGAATTGATCTCCACTTGTTCCACTATCCGGGCTGTCAGCCCAGTCATCTCCACCCAAATCCATGATACCCATTGTCGGTGGTTGGATCATATTGGCCTCGTTGACGGGAACCACTGCAGGGCTTGAGTAACCACTGGCATCACCAGCAGTAGCGGCAGATGAACCAGCCTCGCCAGATTCGGTCCTGGGTACTGCAGGTCGGTAGATTTTCATTCCGTTGGCGGCAAGGATGTCATGGCTCAGTTCATCTTCATCGTCACCTGAGTTGCCATAACAGTCGGTATTGCTTGCATGCCCCAACATTGCGCGAAGGTAAGAACCTTCCGAGCTCGAGAGAGGCTCGGCACCGGAATCTGTATCAACCGAAGAGGTTTCATCTGAAGGTGCCCAACATCCGTAGCTGGCAGGAGGAAGTTGCGAAGGTTCAAGCCTTAGGATGTGTGCCGACACAAGCTCGGGGTTCATGAGCTTATGACGGTGGAGTTTTCGGCGGGTGTTTGTGGTAACGGCTGGTTCCGAAGACTCCGAGTCTGAGTCTGCTGAATCATCGGCATCTGATTCGGCAGAGCGCTCGTCTCCAGAATCTACAATCGAGTTGCTCTCGTCCTCGGATCCCTCATCGGATGATTCCTCACCCGATTCGGCCAAGTTCTCGTTCTGTTGGAAAACATCGATCGACGATTTCGGGATTGAATGCGAGATCTTCCTCAGAATTCTCGATTTGGACAACTTCTTCCTTGAACAAGGCAGTGCACCGTTGGCATTTTGCGGGAGCAAAAAATGCCTCTTTTGCACGTTAATTGCAAAGTTGTCATCCGGAAGCACTCCACCGATTCCAGAGACCTCCAACTCCATTGGCGGAGGGGGGGTATGGGTGATACACGAAGAAAATTCCGGTGAAAATTGGAGTCCCACATCAGTGTCAGAATCGATATTCATAGAATCATTGTCCGAGGGCATTGCCGGTGGCGTGTCCTTTGAGAATAGCGGGCTTTCCCTTTTGGTGTTTGGGCTTGATGGCACGTGTGTCGGCTTCTCTCCAATTGGGTTGTTTGTGAATCTCTCGTATGGAAATCCCGTGAGATATTTGCCATCTCTTACAACTTGAGTAGTCAGGTCCGTGCAGAATTTTCCGCCCTCGTAGTAGATGATTGGCCCGTCCAATGGAGTTGTCTTCTTTGTCACACTTGTCATACCCCCCTCATCTGAACTTCCACGTGGATAAGATCCCATTGAGGTGCTGAGAGTGCTGGAAGTGTCGTCGTCAAATGATTGAGATTGGGCAAACATGGGCTTGTAGTGAAATTTGTCGCTCATGCTTTGTGGGGAAAGTGCTGGGAACCTTCGGCTTGATGAGCTCACTCTTCCTCGTGATCCGGATTTTGATGTTGGATCAATTGACATGGGATTTCCATCCGAATCATTTGGTGATCTTTTCCTCATACCATCCCAATCTTCAGGACTTCCATCACTAGTGATACTCGCACTGTCAACCCCACTCCCCGATGAACTCTCGCTACTCAACCTCGTAGCTTCCAGACCGCCTCTCCACCGTACCATCTTCCCATCCATAGACAATTCCAACTTATCACTAGTAGCCATGATAGCCTTCTTGACGAACGGAACAGTGACGCTGATGGTGTGCAATTGTGCCATGTTGATTATCAAATTCAAGTAGAACCATCCATCTCCCAATCCCTCGGCTCTGCTTCCTACAACTGCGCTGTGTGTCAGATTGGAAAGATATTCAATGTTGTCTTCAGCCTTTGTCAGACGCTTGGGATCGAGGTCTTTGGGCCTGGTGGGACGTTGGTCCGTAACCGCGTCCGATCCGATAGCGTGTGGTTCTGACTGCGAGACAACTATAGGTTCAACGAATTCAGCTGCTTGTCTATCTTGAAGGGGATTCATTATCGAGGCTGTTCGCGCACCCTCCTCGGGTATGACGTTCCCAACGTTTGAACCAGAACGATCAGAATTGGTGCTCTCGGGAGTGGATCCAGAGTTCTTTGACCTGAAGCCGGTGAATAGTTGTTCGAGCTTCCGTACAACCTCCTTCATCTTTGCCCTTTCCGAAGTAGGTGGTGCTAGTGGAGAGGAAGACATTACACTACCACCAGACATCTTGTCGCTTGCCGATGAAGAGCGAGCAACATGAGACTTTGTCTTGACATGGGATGATGGTGCAACCGATGTGGTCCCAGACCGTGAATTGGAAGCATATGCAGAGTCGGCAATGTTGAGCGATGAAGTGGAAGGGTTTATTGAGGGTAAGCTAGGGCTCAAAGAAGTCTCCGGAGATTTCTTTGATGATGAGACGGGTGATTGATCGCTGTCAAGAGTTGAAGCGAATCCCTGTAGTAAACGTTCAAGCTCCTGCTTCTTGTGTCTAATAAAGGTATTAGTAACCGTAAATGGTAGACGTGGGGGTGAAGCGAAGGGTCGTACAATGGCAGTCCATGCATTCGGACCTCGAACAACTTCTCTTCGGCCAAACCACCGCCATGGAGACCTTCGAGTTTCTTTAGACGCTTCTTGAGTTTTTGGTCTAATAAGTAAACAAACATGTTAGCACTTGTGTCATGTTAGGTGGTGATGTGGTAGTGTCGTTACATACTCTTGATGGTGAGGTCATCAATGACGCTTCGGAAGCTATCGCTGTTGCTTTCCTCTGTACTGTCGATGAGTCCTATCGAACCGGCAGGATGAAGACGCTTCATACCAGTTCTTGAACTTCTATTTGGATACATTTTGTTAAGACGGGAGTATCGAGAAATACTGCCGACGGCGCTCTTCTTGTAGGCATTATTTGGGAGGTAGTAAGGAGGATCGTCTATTACACAAAAAAAATATAACCGTCAGCATCAAATCGTCGTTTGAATCGAGAAAAACCCCTGCCAAGACGCTATCCCGAAATGAAGGATCGTATCGTACCATCTAGTGTAGCATAATTATTTCCTCCAACATCACGATTAAAAGCGTTGAACCAATCTTCCGAACCACTATTGTGAGCCCCGCTATCTGCGATGCTTTCCAGGTCGATCTCACCTGAGGCCGTGTCGGCTCCGTCACCGGCTCCCGAGGCCGCACTCCCTCCAGAGGACCCAAACTGCATTTTCCATCCGAGCATGGCGTCGTCTCTCGGGTCTTCAGGTGGAGGACTTGGAAACATCGAAGCGTTGCCACTTGTGAAACCACTGTCTCCGTGATGTGTAGGTTGAGGCCTTCCGTCTCTTGTGAACTGCTGCTGTTGCTGCTCTTGATCAAACATTCCCGCCATAGTGTTGTTTCCTCCTTCTCTTTTCCTTAAAGGTATTGATTCTATGCCAGGTAGGTGTGGTGGTATGTGTGTTGTGGTAGTGTGTTCCATAGGGCCTTGATGTTGATGCCTTAGGGAATTTGAATCTTCAAGTGCCGTTCGGCGTTGATGTCGATGATGATTGTCTTGCATAGAAGAAGGAGGAGAAGCAAGAGCAGAATTAGAGGACGGTCTGACGGGCAATTGCTGATGGGAGGAGGAGTCGAGGTCGTGTCTCAGGTGTGGGCGGCCAGGATCGGGTTGGGAGGGTTGTTGCTGTTGTGTGGACATAATTGGTAACATGCTTTCTTGGTGATGGGATCTTGAATTGGTATGGTGATCGAAGTTTATGTGAAGTTCCGGCTGACCGGTGTTGATCGAGTAGTCATCGTCGGCCAGAGTTAACGCTTTGTACTGAGAGGAAGAATGTTCCTCCAGATTTATGCCCGGGGCAGCCGTTTTTATTTCTTTGTGGAGAAATACCGCTGGGCGCCTTTTGCTTTAATTTGTTTTCACGTGGTTACTAAAAGAAGAATATAGAATAGCAAAAGACAGGTGTTTTTGAAGTATGGTGATGATAAACGGGCGGCGTGATGAGGGGCTCAGGATCTTTTTTTCTCTCTCTTAGCTAAGAAAGACTTTCGGGGTTTACTGTTCACTGTTGTGTTGGGGGGGAAATATTTGTAGATTGATCGCGGTGGCGGGCGATCGAGGGGGAGAAGTAGGCAAGGAGCCACGCCGTTGATAGATATCTTGAGGTAGGTAGGGTCTGCTGCGTCTGCTGCGTCTGCGTGTGTGTCTCAAGATCTGGTCGGGCCAGAGGCAGAACCAAGCGAGTCCTTTTTTATTTGCCTAGCCTAGAAGATAATGGTATGTAGGTAGGGATAGCGGAGGAGGTACGTGAGGGTGTGCTGGTAGAGTGTGGGTAAATTTGGTTGTGAGTGATAGTAGGTAAGGTTGTTAGAGAGAGGGGGGGTTGGCAGATTTGCTGCAAGGTGCTTTGCGTGGGGAGCGGGCGGATTCAAAACTGGTAGAACGGGGAACAGGGACAGAAAGACGGTGAATAGGGTACTGGGAACACAAGAAGGGGGAAACCTCGGGGCGAGGGAGGGGTGGCTGTAGCAGAGAAACAAACGAGGCGAAATAATAAGCTATGTAGAGAGGGTCGTGTTCTGTATCTATGCGGTGTTCGTGTTCGATATAAATCCGAGTGGTTTTTTCTCTTTGGACGGATGAGGTTTCTAGCCAGTGGGATCTTTGAATTGAAGTTTTCTTTATTTTATTTTTCTCTCCTTGCCTGACTTCTTTTTGGTGAAATATGTTTTATTTTCTTATTTTTCTTTGATGGCAGCTGTAGTTCCTGATGGTCACGTACTTATTATTATTTTATTGCTTGCAGCAATGCCTGAGTTGTTTGTGCTTGTGCTTGAGATGCAGTTTGGGCTTATGAAGATCAAGGGGAGGGGGTAAGGCTTTGAAATGAGTACGGTGAGTGAGTATACGTGAATGAATGGGCAAGGGGAGGGGTTAGATGAAATTTTGTTTCTGCAGAGTTTCTGTTGTTCAGTTGTTTTCTGCTGGTTCTATTTGATTTAGCGTGCAGCGCGTTTTGCAGCATTCCAGTCAGTGAGGAGTATTAATGCTTCCTGCTCTTCTGGCGGTGTTTGTTGTTATTGTTTCTGCTGACGACCTATGATGCCGATGTCAATCTCGTGGGTAGGTACATGTACGTACAGACCGCAGTATACTAGTATGGGTTGTTGTACTCTAGGTATGTCCGTGTGTACGTACATACGCAGTCAGTTGAAAGGTGCTGTTTCTAGAGCAGGTATGGTATTATGTAGCTAGCTGCTAACCAGGCTCCAGGCGTTGCTGCTCCTCCGGCGGTCTAGGCTGTATACGATAAAATTAATAGTGCTCTAGAGAGCACAAGCAAGCGGACGCTGATTTGATCGAATCGGCAACTCGATGAATCAACAGTTAGAACGAACTAATCGAGGGAGATCTCTATTGACGAGACGACACGGACGAGTGCTTTGCTGTAATATTGTGTTTCCGGGGGCTGATCACCTTAGGTCCTGTAGGCAGGCACGCTGCTGTGGCTGCTGGCTGATGTCGTTCTACTGCTGCTCGGCCAGTGGTGGTACTGGTCTCCTGTTCTGACTCCATGGATCCAACAAGCAAGTCCACCTCTCTCCTCTGATCCCATCTGAGTGACTCTGCCCTGATCCACCGAACCGTTGCAGTGTTGTGCGCTGCTGCTGCTGGTGCTGCCGGTGCTGCTGGTGGTACCTCCTGCCTGCCATTCCGCCCATCCATCTGCCCTTGTTGCTGCCATCTCGTTCGCAAGACTCTCCCGGGTCCTTGCCAGAGTATTGTGCGATCTCGATGTTCCGCGACATTACCTGCCCCTTCCGTTAGATTACCACCATAGAATCGATGCCAAGTCGCCAAGTCGCCAAGAATTTAGCGTAAATCGAACATACTAAGACATCTGAGAACCGGGAGCGTTACGGTCAACAGCAATTACAGGGTCTCACATCATCCTTCCACCTGCAAAGCATCTACCTCCTCCGCATCCAACCCTCCCCCTTGTCACCTTCAATAGGACTTCATTAACCCCACCTTCGAATCCATCGAATCCACCCCACCAAAACAGCCTTGGTGACCCCCATTCTCAAAGACCCAAACCCCCAATGTGATCCCCTGGGCCTGCATGTAGAGTACATACCTCCAATTCTATTCTTGGACACGCGTTATCGCTCTTGTCTGTCTCTCTTCTTGCCTGCAAAGTACCCTGAAGAGCCCCACGGACCCCACTCACTCCTCCTTCCCCGATAAACTCAAAATTGTAAACCACGCAGCAAGGCGCGGGAACTTGTGGACCCTGAGTTGCGCAAGCATGCTCGATAGGGAAATGGGAGCGAAGCTCTCCCCCCTTCTCCGGAGGGTATGTAAGATGCCGGCTGTCAAAAGCAATCCTCAAACTCTACAAATTGCGTTCCTGGTAGAACCAGACCCCAAATCTTATTTGTCAAGATCGATTGACCAGCCTAGGCATGTCAGGGTCCAAATGTTTACAGGACTCTTGGGGCTAGGGGTGGATCACTAGACTTGCTTTTGTTTATTAGCTTCCATGTGGAGGGTTAGTAGGTATCCACGCTAACTACTAAAGAAAAGCAACTCTAGTAATTCACCCTAGCCGGGCCAAGGTCCCGACCCATTTGGATCTTGACGGGCTTGGGGTTGGTTGACAGGTTAATCAATCATTGACAAACAAGAGTTGGGGTTTGGACTGTTTTACTAGGAATATACCGGTAGGTAAACCACAAATCCCAGAGCACGAGCATTCAGGCACCGACCAAACGCTTCTTTGGCCTACACAAATGAAAACACCGCAAACATCTACCGCGCGTGCCGGTACCTATGATGAAAGCAACAATCTCATCAACTCAAAATCAAGGGAAGCATGGTAACGTTTCATGAGGTAAGTACTCTACCCTACTATGCACCGCGAAGGGCATTAGAGAAGAGAAGAGAAGAGAAGAGAAGAGAAAATAGAAACGAAACGCGCAAATTAAAAAAGCGCTCATCCAAAGAGGATAAGCGTGCGCTCTCTCCGAGATCTCGTTCTCATCGGTGCCAGATAGATAAAGTAAAACAAGTCCCCCCAGCCAGGCTCCAAAGAGAGGCAGAGAAAACACTCTACGAGTCGGTCGGCTCAAGCCGTCGGAACCCAAGCCAACCCTGCTGGGGAGGAGAAAAGGGGGGGGGGGGGGTCACGGTCCGACAGACAGCAGAATAAAAAACGATCGAGATTCAGCAGTGAGTCGAAAGTGGGAAAATAGAACGGGCAACGTTGCTAGCCTGCCAGCCCTTGTCCCTGCCCTCGACGGTGGGAACGGCGACCGATTGATTTGCACGCAGCGCACGAGTTGTGGCCGTGGCCCTCATGTGGCAGTACATGGGACACATGCTATGCGGATTAAGCAGAGGGGATTCAAATAATCAATTGTTGTTTCCTGATTCTGATCGAGATCCCCATCTCCGACAGCGAAATCGACCCAAATCGGTTTTCCACCCCCAGCAAAGGAAGCGTGGCCAACTGCAGAGCGATTATGACCCATACGGTAAAAGGCCCATAGGAGATTATTACCCTCTGGGGTAAGAATATCATCTACGCGTACGGGAAAAAAAAGGAAGTGGAGGGAGCGGAAGGGCAAAACCACGCACAAGTTTCCGCCCGTCGGTCTGTATGTCGACGGGGTCGGTTGCTCGGCGTGGTCGCTTCCTTTTCCTCGCGAAGCTCATACGTCGCCTGTGCAACCGAAATCAGGATAGACGGATTTGAAGCCATAGATTCGACGGGCGTGCAAATCGTCGATGTCTCGCCGACCATGCCTGCCCGGGTCACCAGAGCGCAGCTGGCAAGCAGGCTGGCAGGCAGGCGAACCTGTTGGAGATTAAGAAACCGTTAGAGCGGACAAACGTGGGGTGGTCAGCCAGCCAGCCTGTTGAAATGGAACTTCTCGATGCTCACCTTAAGCTGCGATCCCCACAACCCCAAGCTGCTGCTGGGAGCGCCAAAAGAAACCTCCGATGCGTTGATTGACCTCCCTTAGGAAACGGGGTACGATCAGCGCTGTCATTTGAGATGAGACTTTGGGTCCTACTTTTTATTTTTATTTTTTTTCCTTCTGTCCCTTTCCTGCTTCGTCTTTGCTCGTTCGCGCTCCGTGCGGGGTTGATGGTTTTTTTTTTTTGATTTTTTTGCGCGGTTCTTTAGCAATTCCTTGTTTTGAGGGGAAGTTGACGATGAGGACAACAAAGACGTCGTGAGCTGCGAGCAAGCGGGGCCGGGTCGGGTGAGGAGTTGGAAGCTCTCTGGCTGGCTGGCTGGCGGCGACGCCCTTTCGTAGTAGAAAAAGCAGGAATTCACCCTGACAGTCAGCAATGAGGGTCAATGATCAGAAATGTCGGAAAAGTAACGTTGCGACCGTGGGTACAAGGCTGGAGGAGTGTCCCATGTCTCTGACCTCTTATCGCCTTGGTCCATCCACCACACCGGATACATGGAGACTTATCGGTGCTATTTTTACGCTATAGAGTAGATATGTTACCACCGGCCACCGTTTACAGAACTCTGGAACATTGGGACTCTGCGAGTTCCTGAGCCCTATTCGCGAGGACTGGGATAAGGTGTACTGTAAAACAAAGTAATCTACGTTATGCATGTTGTAAGCTGTCTCCCCGGTTCGAGATGGTTGGCTTTACAATTGAGCCCGATGCATGGGAGCATGGGGGCAGATTAAGATAAAAGGGGGTGGGTGGTGGGCGAGCGTGAGGGTGTGGAGGAAACAATTCATACACACACACACATACACACTCACTCACTCATTCTGCACCTGCTGCACACCCTCTGCGGTCTGCGGTGAGGAATTGATCATGAGGAATTGAGTCAAAAGAGCCACAACACGACTGCTGGATATCCCATGCAGAGGATACGTGTCTATGTATGTACACCAGTTTATAATAGGAGGGAGGGAGGGCAAATCTAAATCTACAGAATATCTGTTGTTGTGTATTGTGTAAGTACTGCGGACGAAGCGACGTTGCACTCAATCAATCAATTCAATCAAATCAACTCAATTAATTGAGCCGGGCGATCCCTCTAATAATAATACCATTGAGTGGTACAGCAATGTAGAATATACAATGTCACGTAGTACCGGCTACTAGGTAATACGATAAAGTATTATCATATCGCTCAGGCACGATAGGGACTTGACGATTTGGGCCTGACACATCCCGACTGTCGATCCCTCTCGGTGTTGGCGGGCAGCCTGGCTATGTACATTGTAACATCCCGACTCTATCCCGACTCCGCGAGCTGCGGGAGGCTCAGTAAAGACTTCGGCCTCCTTCCCCGTCTGGACCTTGGTCCAGAATTAGATGGTGGTGGTCTAGAGTATGTAGAGGCAGAGAGAGAGAGTAATGTGCAGTTTAATATGGTCAGGGAGGGAGGGAGGGGGCAAGGATTCCAGCTTCTGGAACCTCCAATTCACACATATCAAATTGACGCTCAGACTTCAAGTACTCCCACGCCCACGCTTCTCTCACTCACACTCACTTTTCTTATCTTAATTCCCCTGCCTGTCCAACGTTGTGTTCCCGCTTCTCGGTTGTTCTACCGGGAGGCTTTTTTTTTATTATTTCTTTTTTCCTTTACTTGACCTTCCTGTATGTAGCTTCATGCCCTCGAACTCAAGAAGTAAACTTTTTTTCCTATTTTTGCTTTTTGGAGAATTGATTTTTTCCGTTTTTTACTTTTTTCTTGACATTTTTTTTTTCTTCCGCTGCATCCCACCCCCCTTCTTTGGGTTCCGGCAGCACACCCCCCCATCGGACTACCATCGCACCGGTATATCGTGTCTGTCGCTTCCACTGTAAATTTGCTTGCTTTGCCCTTCCCTCACTATGTCTTCCCCTTCGGTTTGATTGATACCTAGCCGCAGCCAGCCCTATCTCTATCTATCAATTGGCTTTCCTGCTACCCTGGGGTCGAGGGAAATTCCTTTTTTCTATATATATATATATATATCCATATACATAAATTATTTCCCGGGAATCGAATTGGCAGCAGCAGCGCAGCAGAAATCACTTGCATGAGCGATACAGGTGCACGGGACAATTTTGCTTTTTCGTGGGAGGATCAACTCTCGCGTTTCGTTGTTTGCATCCGGAGCGCCGGAGACGATCGATTGGGTGAAACCAAGAAATCACTTTTGCGGCGAAGGAAGGGAAGGGAGGAAACGGAGGAGGGGGGGAGGGAAATCAATCAATCAGAACCAGGCGTAGTCGAATCGAGGAGAGGCAGAGATAGTCGATAGGGCAGTAGAATAAGAATAAGAGTGATAGTGAGTGAGTGAGAGAGAACAGAGCGACAGAGCGACAGCGAGGGGAGTTTTAAGGTGAGGCATAGGAGGTACATGCTACATACACATACATACGCAGGCACACATTTTTTGCATGTACCGATACCGAGAGTTCATCAAGATCAAGACCAAATCAATCAGTCAATCAATCAGTCAATCAATCAGTCAATCAATCAATCAATCACTGGCTCAATCTAGTCAGACAACGTTTCGCAGCAGCAGTACCACGTTCCGATTCTTACCAATCGACTTGACCGCAGCAGAAGGTTCTCTTTAGGATCTGTACCTCTTATCTGATTAGGCAGAGAAAGGGATTGAGCCGCAGCCGCCAGTCCTTCCTACCCCCCCCCCCCCCCCCCCCGGTCTGACAGCCTGTACGTTTATCTGTAAACTGCCTGTCGACTCACCCTGTCTGGCGCACTAGTCACTGGTAGTCTAGACGTGCTGCTGTTAGGTCTCCTCCTACC